AGAGAGAGAGAGAGATCATTGATCCCTTAGTGGTTCAACATCAGATATATATGTTGCATGTATGTATATTTATATACATTTCTTTATGGGTTATACTAAGGTGCTCACACTATAGAGCATTTTAGAATTGTTCTCAACAAATTTTGTACTCTTATATAGTCTTCTTTTGTACATGGAGCATCTGTTTAGTAAGGGTATTTTTTATCATTAGGGTGTGACATCACCTACATGGAGCACAATGTCATACACCATGTGGATGATGTCATACCCGTCCTAATGACCACAAATATCCTTATTAAAAAAATGTTGTATTATAAAAGAAGGGTATATAAGTGTCCAAAATTTGTTGAGTACAATTATAAAATGCTCTATAGTGTGAGTACCCTACATAACCTTCTATTTATTATATAATATATGTATTTATGTATATTTATAGGAGATCGATGGTGTCTGCTGGCTCGCATACAAGGGCCTTGTACTTCAGACGGTTGACATTACAAATGGGGGTATCGATGCTGGAGATAAGTTCTAAAAGTTTCTTTCCCTCTCCCATACCTCTCTCTCTCACTGCTTCCCTATCTTCGCTCCTTTTCCTCCACCATTCTTCCCTGCCCCATCTACCCCCTCCCTTCTCTCTCTCTCTCTCTCATTTTTCTCTGACTCGCACAGTAAACTCGCCACCCTCTTTCATTCTCACTTCACCCATAGCAAAACCCTGCCCCAGCCCCTCTCTCCCATTCTCTCTCTCCTCTCTCTCTCTCTCTACCACAAAACCAGAGCATCACCTGAGAAGTCTGTACCAGCTCCCTTTATTTCCGATTCTCTCCTCTCTCTCTAACGCAACCAAAACATAGCAACATCAGCTGAGAAGTGTGCCCCTGCCCCCTTTTCTCCAACTCTCTCTCTCTTTAACACAAAACCAGAGCCACATCAGTTGAGATGTGCATACTAGCTTCCTTTGCCCATAACACAAAATCATATCAACATCAGTTTGAGAAGTGCGCCCCAGCCCCCCCTCTCTCTCTAATACAACTAAAACCATAGCAACATCAACCTCTGAAGCACTGAAATTGTGTATTTCTAGAGAGAGAAAATGGAGAAGGTTTTGAGAGATTTGGAGGAAGCTCTTCCATCCTGGCTTGCAACTTTCATGGCTGTCTTCTCAGAGGTTTCACAGGCCTTCATTGATATAACTAGAGAATTTAGGAGCGGTGTCTTGATTTGATTTGTAAGGTTCCTTGTGTAGAGGAGGGAGTGAGGCGGGCTTCTATTTAGAGGATCCTCGTTTGAGAGAGAGAGAGAGAGAGTTGGGCTTCTGCTTAGCAGACCTCTTCTCAGAGAGAGAGAGAGAGAGTTGAGCTTTCGCTTAGCAGACCTCTTTATAGAAAGAGAGGGGGGGAGAGAGAGAGAGTTGTGCTTGGGTCCTCTGTCTAGAGAGAGAAGAAAATACCCCCAAAATTTTTCGAGGGTATTTTGATCAATTTATTTCATGTAAAATATTTTTTGATATTTTTCCAAAATTCACCTATTTTTGATGTACACACGCTTCAAATTTCAAGTGATTTGGATTTGTATAAAAAAAATTAAAATTAAAACACTACCAGACATCCGTGATCGTTAGATCGGCCTAGATTCAATCTGGGCCGTTGGGCTCATTTTTTCCCGTGAGCTAGTGGGTTTACCCTTGCATTTTCCTATATATATATATAGGAAAACTTTAAAAAACGGCTATAGGCGAAATTGAATAGTGCTTTGCTTTGCTACATGGCGGTTTTGCCTTAAAAACCGTCATGAATCTACGCAAGCTGTGGCGGTTGCCCGGTTTACCACAACAGACATAGTAGGTATGTTGCGGTCCATGTTGTTCGAAAAAAAATCTGACGGCACCCAGCCTAAGGGCAAAAACACCGTTCATTTTCGCCCATAGGTGTTGCGTAGTGGCTTCCATATATATATATAGAAAAACCTAAAGAACGCTGATAGGCGAAATGCTACAGTGTTACGCCACTACCACGGACTTGCTATGTTTGTGGTGGTTTTTCGAACGGACCCACAACGGACGGCGTTCTGCTTGAATTTTTTACCACCATCACCATGGACATGCTAGGTCCGTGTCGGTCAAAAATGCACGCCGTTCGATATTTTCAGATGGTAATGAGCCTATGAGCGAAAATATTTTTCATTTTCACCCATAGGCGTTGCGTAGTCTCTAATATATATATATATATATATATATATATGAGTAATGATTCTATAGGACCCTCCCCCACCCATGTGTGTAGGACCCCAAAGGATCACAATTAAAGTTGGCATGAATCTCTAGAAAAGTTATCACATGGGTGTGGGATTTGAATTTTCTATAGATCCGTGCCAAATTTAATAGTGATCCTTTGGGGTCCTACACATATGGGTGGGGGAGGGTCCTATAGGATCATTGCTCTCTCTGTCTGT